GCAGCTTTTCTTTTTCTCCCTACTTTCTTCCTCTCTTCCTCACTTTCTCTTTTTCTTTCTTTTTATTCTTTCTCTTCCTCCCTGCCTCTCTCCCTCTTCCTTCGTTCCTTCCTTCCTTCATTCCTTCCTTGCTTCCTTCCTTGCTTCCTTCCAGCACTGGGGTTTCAGCTAAAGACAGTGTGCTTGCTCACTCAGCTGGCATTCTCTTACTTGAACCACAACTCTGGTCAGTTATCTGCTGGTTATTTTAATAGGTCTTTAGAACTTTGCTTCCTGGATTGACTTCAAACTTCAAACCTCTGGATCTCAGTCTCCTGAGTAGCTAGGATTGCAGGCATGAACGATCAGTTTCCAGTTTCTTCTTTCATATTTGAGAAAAACTGATAATACTCTCTAGTGCCACAAGGAAACTTCTATTCTTACCCTTCTTAGAAACACCCAGGATTGTACTGTGAGAAATATTTTTGATAGATTATTTTTTAAATATGATGTACAGAATTCATAGGGCACTAAAAATGGCTAATGTGAAGGAGATTCCTGAAATGTATGCAAATTATCTGTATATGTGCCAGTACTTCATGCACACATGTATTAGAGGGGAGTGTTCATCACAGTTGCAGTATGAACTATGACCCCTGGAAAGTAAAATCCTCTTGCAGTGGGTGATTTTTAAAAGAAAAAGATAAATACATAAAATGAAAATAGCTCTTTTCCATTCTTTTCTTAATTTAGGTGCTGTGTATTTTTTCATCTTTTTAAAAAAATTTATTGTCAAGGTGATGTATAGAGAGGTTATAGTTATATACATAAGATTGTGAGTACATTTCTTGTCATACCCCTCCCTCAACTTTCTCCTACTTTCTTTCCCCTCAGTGTCTCCCCCAAGTTGTAAAGTTCATTTCCAACATATTTTTAATAGAAGAATTTTCTCTGTAGTAATGCTTCAAGAGTGAGTAAAATTTGCATAAACTGGGGTGTTCTTTGCAATTCTGCCTAGTTTTTCAAGAGTGTCTTTTTAATTTTTTGAAAGTTTAGTTATTAGAAATTTTATGAGACTGTGAACCTTTTAGGGTTTTTCTGAGCTATCATAATCTGCCCTCTTCTGACCCCTTAAGTTTTTATTAATTTGCTTTGTATTTTTACAAAAAATTAAAACCCCCAAGAAAATTAAAATTGAAGGAAGAAGTATTTTAGTGAAAGTAATTCAGTAACTTGGAGGTACACTTATTATCAATGTCTAACTCTTTATGAGTTTACATTATTATATGATCTGAATGGACTCTAGATTTTCCAAATATATTGAGACTTCTTGTTCAAAAACAAAATCAGATAATATTATTAAATATACCTCTTAATATTTTAATTATTTAAAAACACCAAAAACAAAGGAGTGTTTGGATATTTGTGTGATCAGAAATTGTGTTTCTCCTAAAATGTTAGAACAAAAATAAAACTGTTGAACCTTCTGTCTTCACAAAATAGGACTAAAAATCTGCCCTAAAAGGTGTTTTCATTATGTATGGAAATTAAGTTTGCTGTCCAGTTCAGTTTTCTTATGGGGTGGGGACACAGAGAAGGAGAAGTAAGTGAAAGGGAAGATAACTTTGTATTATGATAGGGTTCAGGTATGTGGACATGTTCCTTTGAATTGTTAAAACATATGACCTCTTCTGTCTTTATTGTAGGCTTTGGACTTCTTGTTGTTAATATTTGCTGCAGCAGTGGTGGCTTGGGCAGACCATGATGCTCCACTCCTCCTTGGTCTTACTGCCAGTTGGTTGCCATGGCATCAGGAGAATGGCCCAGCTGGGCCAGCATCAAGCTTCCTTGGCAGGAGTCCAATGCACAGGGTCACTCTGCAGGAGGCTCTCACTCTCCTTCCCAATAGCATGCTGCTGCTGCTGCAGAAAGAGCCATGGAAGGAACAGACCCAGAAGGTGAGCCTGGTAGCCACCTGCTTAGCTGGTGGGCAGGCAGGCTTTTGTCTCTAGAAGTTCCTGCTGTAGGATTGACGTGGTAGTTCAGTAAAACTTGAATCACACCACAGGCTTCCCTATGTAGCCCCAGATCTCAGTAGGATGCAGAGACAGCCCAGGTAACTGCTGATTTTGAACAACAGCAATCACAATAGCAACAACTTGCTTACAGTTGGGGGTTAGGCTGGAAAGAAAAATCTATACTTTCATTCATTTTTTTGGAGGCACATGTACTCTGATCTTCAAGAAGAAAGAGTAGTAAATTTCAGGTGAGAATCTTAAAGTGAGGACAAGAAGGAAGGTACATTCAAGATTCAAGCATGGTAAGTAAGCAGGTAAGCAGGATACAGTTGTGAGGAGCAAGGAAGGGAAGTGATCAGTAATGTCTGAGCTGACTCAGGGGACTCTTCCCAGGGGGAATGTAGGGCTGGAACATCTGTTTTCTTGCAGAGTAGTTAAGGTTGCCCATCGCTTATTCTATGCTACACACTCACTGCAAGTACTGTCATGACCTTGGCCTGAGGGAGATGTCAAATATAGTTTTGCTATCACCCCTTCTCTGAGAAACACCCAAGTTGTAGGATTCACCTTTTGGTTTTAAATACCAAAGTCCCTGATCTGTTGGCAGAACATGTGAAAATTCTGTGCTCCCTGTCCTTGACTGATCATTAATATAGTTGGTTGGAAGATTCTTTTTTTGAATCTCATTTAATCAAAACTGGATTTTATATGAAGTTAAAAGCTTACAACTAACTTTGTTGCTTATATTTGAAATCTGAACATTAATCTTTTAAAACATTTCTGAGCAGTGAACCCAGAGTTTGTTTATGCATAATTCTCCTAAGTTCCTCAACTAAAATGTTGTTTCCCCTTAGATCAGATAAGCATTCGTAGTACTTTCTTAACTTTTTTACTTTATGTTCTATTTTTAATCAAAATAAATTTACATGTGGTCTCCCATTTTGTTATTTCTGGATCAAGACAGTGTTCACTTTGGACTACAGGGCAGACATCTTGCTTTGATTATATATTCGGATGCTTGGTTTATTTGCTTCTGTTAGAATATTATAAAAACCAAATTGAGAAAAGGAAAGAAATACAAGAGAAAAATTGAATTAAAGCAGGAGTTAGAATTTTCTTTTTCTTTCCTTAATCCAGCTTCACATATCTGAAGTTGAAATCTGTAGTGAAAGATTAGTAACATTTAGTCATCAATGACATTATCCTGTATCTAATTTGAAAACAATTTGGGCTGCATCCTGGGAAATCATTCAAACTCATGAGTACTATGAGCTTTTATCTCATTTTTAGGATTTATTCACAGTTAACATGCTTGGCTTTACTGACAATATTTTATGCTCTTTCTCTTGTATTTGAACTTCCTTCTTTTCATATTAATTTGGGCACAACGTGTTCTCATTTACAGAAATAGATTTCATTTCAGTAATAAGAGCTTATATCTGATAGGTTTCTGTTTGGTGCCAGCCTAATGCATACAGGGCAAAATGCATATAGAAATAGTGGAAATGAACATGATGCAAAGAAAGCACATCACTTTGCAGCCAGGAGTAGCTGGGCTCAACTCCTGACCCTGGGAATAGACTTGGGTAGTTATTAGCAGATCTGGGCTTCTCTGAATGATAGCAGATAATGTTGATGGCCTCCATATCTTATGGTCTTAAACACTCTGTCTAAAACCCATATTTTGTTCTTGGTCCATGTCTCATTTCTACTCCTTCAGCCTAGCCAAGAGTTGCCTACATATTGCACTTTCCCTCAAGTGTGCTGGCCTGGGGGACTGACTGATCTCATGGTGATAATAGCATTCTGTTCACTGACACTGTTCTTTTTCATTCTAGTTCATTGACTGGCTATTCAGCATCATAGAAAGTCCTAAAGAAGCCCTCTCAGCAAAGTCCAAGGATCTTTTGAAAGGTATTACACTTCAAGATTATATCCATGTAGATGAAAAGCATCATCTCTTGTCTAGTATACAGAACAGCATATTATGATATTGGTTTATGAAAAATCTCTTCTTTGTGTACCTCAATAATCGGGTGTGATCACTAATGTAGCATTTTGAGCCAGAAACTGGATTCTAAAAATGTTCCAGTACTTGTAAATTTAACTTTTAGATAAATCTAACTTTCAGCTTGTACTTTCATCTGTGTCTTGGGACTTGGGGATTTGGAGCCAGTAGCTGCTGCTGACAGCTTGGATATTGCACTGACTATGTCATATCTGTTGGTCTCTTCTGTGATAATTTATCTGGGCTTTCTATTTGCCAAACAAGAATTTGTGAGTTGTGATCCTTCTTCCAACCCCAAAGGAAACCTGTGGATGTTGAAATAGTGGCCCACATGATTCTAATAGAACTTCACTAAAAATCTAGACTGTGATCTGATATATTTTTAATTGATCCATCTCCAGAGACTTGCTGACTCTGTTCATTTGTCTGTGAGAGTTTGAAGTAATTTTTAATAGTCCTGGACCCATAATACCATTGGTTTCTATGATACAAAGTTAATAACTGAAACCAAAGTGTTAACCAGTCCAATGAAGCATGTATTCATTTGATTATATTTTCATGAGCTTACTATTATAGTCACCATAGTTGTGTAACCTGGTTTATATACATTCCTTCACATTCCTATATTGTACATATATTTGTAGTAATATTGCAAAATAATATATAAGATACATAGATAATAATGTATATATTACATATAACATATAATTATATATAATAAAATAAGAATATATAATGTATATTATATATAATATATAATTACATATAATAATAAAATAAGATATATAATAAGAATTACTCAGAATTTGTCTTCTTTAAATTGATCCCCAAGAGACTCGTGACAGAGCAGAAACAATTGATGTGTACATGTCCAAATATAATTTACTACAGTCATAACTATTCTTTTGAGCATAAGAGCTCAACTTTCATATGATTGTGGGTTTTATATTTTTAGCATTAAGTAAGCACCTAATGGAGATAACACTTATGAAGAATAAATTAAGTAAATTTTATATGAAGTAGATTTTTTATAAAGAACACACATGTAATTAGCACTCACATCAAGAAAAGGAACATCATTAAGCTTCTCAGAAATCAGTTTCCAAGTCATCTTTGTAAATTTCATTATCAACTGAATATACAGTAACTAAAAAACTTTCCCTCAACCTTTAAAATGGTTTACTGCCTTAACAATTTGCCAAGACTTGATGGGAATTCTTAATCTTGAAGATAAGCTGAGAAAAAGCCAACCTCTGCTCTTGATACCTTTTTGATCAAAATGACCTTTTCAAGTGGAGCTATACCAAATGCAAGTGTTCTCTCTCTCTCTCTTTTTGTCTCCTTAGCCACCCTGCTATCCTTAAGAGTTCTCCCAGAGTTTAAGAAGAAAGCCGTGTGGTCCAGAGCATATGGATGGTAAACAGTTTTACAGTAGTCAACAGCATTTTCAGTTAATGCAGCAAACCAAAGAAATAGACATTTTTCAGAATTCACATCTGAGATTGGTGACACATTGATCCTTACAGTTAAGGATCATGAGAAGGTGGCCATATTACTGACAGCTTGACACATGCTTGGCCAGGAGGACGTGAATTCCTTTGGTACCCAGGCCACGTGAGACTGAAATAGGAGCATGAATATTGCTGATTTGGCCAGAGTTCAATATGAGGATGATCTTTGTGGAAACTTCTCTTACTTAAACTCTAGTAAAATTATCTTGTAAACTTTGTGCATGTGACTTTTATTTGCTTTAATAGTGTTGGAGATGAGTTTGCTTACAAAACAAATTGTAATGGTGACAGTAATCTTATGTATATCCCAATAATAATGTCCCTTCCACTTGGTTGCCCGTATAACTTCAGGTAAGAAATTATTCCCTCAAGATATTTCCATTTGGTCTGCAAAATTAGAAGTCTCTACTGTTTGAGGCCAGATGTTCCTAACTATATACAAAAGGAAATTTCCCTTACAAGCCCTTTTCTGTTAGTTTTTGAAAATATAAGTTGCCAAGATAAATAGCTTGTGGGGATATACTAACAAATTAATATGTGGAGTTAAAGCTGTGTTATGTCTCTCAGAAGTATCCAAACACACTCACTCTTGATTTGAAAAGTGTACATTTGGAACAGATGTGAAGATCCATGTAAATATCTAAAAACTTCTTGTGTTTTATTTGCAATATAATGGTTCCATGGTAACTAAGAGGTTGTTATCTAAAATTTTTTTGCAGTTAATTGCTAGAAGCTAGCTTCTCTTGAAGTGATAGTATGTGGATATCTGGCTTTTGGGAAGTAAGTATGAGGGTGGTACCCTCATGAATGGGATTAGGGAATTTATTAGAAGAGACTTGGGAGAGATGATTTCTTTTCCATCATGTGAGGATATAGCAAGAAGGCATCTTATGTGCAGAGCACAAAGGAGACTCAGTTGTTATCTTGGAACTTCACCAAGAACTAAAAAGTTACATGGATCCTCACATCTGTTTTTTCCTGAGCCCCTAGAAATTGTGAAAAACCTATTTCTGTTGTCTGACTCATTCAGTTTACAATATGTTTTGTAAGAGTCCAAGCTAAGAGCGCCATTGACAACAATATATGAGGTACTGCTATAACCAATAAAAAAATGTAGAAGCAGCTTATAGAAGTTGTTAGAGTTCTGAGATACATGGTAGGAAATGCCAGTATTAACTTTTAGCAATTTTTTAAGAGATGAGAAAGAAGAGGAGATAGAGAGGAAGCTTCTGCTTTTTAGGAACTATATAATAATCATAAGCAGTGGTATAAATAATAAGGATAGTTAAGATTATCCTGATGACATCTCAGATAGAAGTAGGGAAATGTTCTTGAAGACTGAAAGGATGTCTATTAGAAAATGATAAACAACTTGGCTGAATTGTGTCTATCATTTAGCATTATATGGAAAGCGAAAGTCTTGGGTAATAAAACTGGATATGTAGCTGAGATCTCTAAGCAAAGTGTTGGAGGAGTTAACTCATATTGGAGGAGTAAAATATAAGAAGAAGAACAATATAGAAGACAGAATATTTTAACCAAAAGCAAGAACCAGAACAGAAATGTTTGGAAAATTTTCAGCCTGCGAATACTTAAAAAAAAAAAAAAAGTGAAATCATGTCCTGAAAAGAAGTGTAGTGAACAGACAATTCAATATGGATATTACAATGTGAACTGCAGGTCTAATTGTTGCTCCATTAAGAACACTGCTAATTTGAGATGAAAAGAATGAAGGGAACAGATTTTACAGAATGGGGCCCTGAGTTATTTGGGTGTAAAGCTTTACTATTCTTCAAAGACAAGGAAGAATGATCCTAATGGTGATTCAAATATAAGTTCCTGCAAAAGAGGCATTTAGCTCCTTGGTTTCAAAAGGCCAAATGCTCTGACTGGAACCATAGGATGGTCCATTCAAAGTTACTAGGCCTGACCTCTCTGAACAGACATGGGGACAAGAACTCTGACTTGGCGAATTCTGCTGTTCCTGAGCCTTAAGATCTTAAGGACTTTGCACTGACGTTTTGGGATGTGCTAGAGAACTGTTGTTCCCTTTTGAAATGTCAATAGCTGCCTTATGTTTATCTTAACCATGGTATTTGGAAGCACATAGCATATTTGATTTAACACACAGCGAGGAAAGAATTCCATCTCGTGATGATGGACTCTCAGCTATTTGGGATATAAATGATACATAGATGAAGCTTCAAATATTTTAGTTGATACAAGAACAAGTTCTGACTTTGCAGAGGTGGGGGTGTGGAGGGTCTAGAATACACATATTTTACCCATGAAAAGAATATTAACTTTGTGGAGCCGATAGTCCTAAAAGCTGAATATGTGTCTTCCTCCTCCCATTTTTTTTTTGTACTGGTCCTGGGGCTTATACTCAGGACTTGGGCTCTGACTTTGAGCTTTTTTGTTCAAGGCTAGTGCTCTGTTCCTTGAGCCACAGCTCTACTTCTGGCTTTTTTTTTGGTGATTAATTGGAAATACGAGTCTTACAGACTTTCCTACCTGGGCTGGGTTTGAACTTCATTCCTCAGATCTCAGCCTCCTGAGCAGCTAGGATGACAGGCGGGTAAGTCACTGATGCCTAGCTTTCCCCTAAATTCATGTGTTAAGACCTACTCCATCAATGTAATATATTTGGCAAGAGAGACTTTGGGAGGTAATTAAATCCCAATATCATGAGTGGGATTGGCTGGTGCCATTGTTAAGAAGAAGCATGAGAGATGATCTTTCACTCTGCAAATGAAAAGGAATAGAATTGATTTTGGAATTTCCAGCCTCCAGAACTTTATGAAATAAATTTCTGTTTAAGCCACATGGTTTTGTTATTTAGCAACTTTAGACCTAGGGCTTGGAAAGCTGTTGAATTTTCTAAGTATATTTAATCTTTAATGTTATTATTAGCTTGGGGTATAAAGACAATTTATAAAATATGATATTATGGACAACTGGAGAATATATTCTAAAATGCTACCCTCCTATCTCTCAGTCTGGAAGCTCACTAGTAAAATGCAATTCATGCCACTTGGTTGTTCAAGTTTTGCTTCTCAATTTAATTAAATTTATTCCAGTATATTCTATTTCTCATTGACCTTACAGGAAAAATAATCAAACTTCACACAATGTAAGTGTAACTTGTAGAAAATCCACAGCTTAGGTGATGAACATTATACAGAATGTTTTGAAAATATGATGAGAGACTTGACTGCTGCCATACTGGTTAAGGGGATTAGGTGATACGTACAATTAACCCATGCCATCACTTTTTGTCAAGTACTAGATATTTTGCCACCACAGTATTTCCAAAGATGCATTTGTTGCAGCTGAATCCACAAATCTCCTTTCTTCTGTCACATAACTATGCTGTGTATCGTATCTTCTTTTTAATGGAAAAGACTCTAAGGATATCTCTTCTTTCTGAGTAAAGATGATTGTAGGTAAAATACATACCTAAAGTGGAGAAGAAAGTGGCAACAATAAGTAAGGTTGAGTTAAGCATATCCCTGGGGGGAAAATAATTCTATAAAGTAGTCAGAGTGCTGCCAGAATTCTAAAGATGGGACAGTGACAAGAGAGACCCAAAGAACTGACCAGATTGTATCCAGAAAGGGAAGTAAATCAAACTCGTTTATCCTAAGCTTAATATAGGAATTCTTTGGTTTCTTTGAGGTAACTGCTTCACCACCTCTAACGTTTCACACTTGGTTTTTATTCTTTTATTTTATTTGTGAACATACTGTACAGAGGGGTTACAATTACATGGGCAGGATAATGCATACATTTGTTACCAAGCATTGCAGCCTCCTCCTTTGT